TAGGAAAATTCTCTGTAATTTGTATAGTTTCAAGAATTCTAATAAAGTACTAGTGTGACTGCTTAAGTTAAAAAAAATAAAAATAAAAATAAATAAATAATAATATGATGTTGAGTTAGTAGAAATCAAGCAATTTGTTTTTAAGTGAATTTTTTTAAAACTTTGAATAACAATAACTTAACAACAAATCAATCAAATTTAATAAAAAATTTTTAAAATAAATTTTTACAAACTTAAAGAAATTATTTAAAAAAAATTTGATTAAATTTGATCAAGTTTTTGTTAAGGTATTAGTATTTAAAATTTTTAAAACAACTCAATAAAAACAATTTGCTTGATTCTACTAATTCACCCCCATATATCTAATAATTTATAATTTATACTTTCAAATAAGATTAATAAAATGAGTTTATTTGAGTATTAAAGATTTTAATAAAATTTTTTTTTTATAAAATAATTAGAAAAGCTTTTTTAATTTCATTATGTTTAATAAAAAAAAAACTGAACACTTAATTAATAAAATATAAAACAATATTGTTCAGTCACATAACAACATTATAGAATTCTCTCATATAAAGATAACTTTTATATACAAAGAAAACTTTTTTATCAGTTTTGTCAAACCGCTGTGGATCATGAAAAAAATCTGTAATAGATGAACATTTAACATCTACACATGAATCAAAAATATCTTTGCATTTAATGATAAAAACTCTTGTTTAACATGCAATTACTACTTTTAATAAACTTTAAAATGAAATTGCATTAGTATATATTTGGTTACTGGTTTAGGAGTAGATGTTGAATGTAACTTTTCAGCTTATAAGCGAATTTTAGCAAATAATAGGCATGCTTTGTCAAAAATTCAATTAAAAGATTGAATTTTAATAAATAAATAATTTTTTAGAAAAGGTTTAAAAATCGCATTCTCCATTTAAATCGCGCATCCATCGCATAATTCTGGACACCTTAGTCCCTATTTCCGACGAGAAACGCGGTCACGTGACATTCGAAATTACGCTGTGACCAACGTAACTATACCGATACTTGCTGGCAAAACCTGGACAAATCCCAAACCCCCCAAAACAAATTGCTTTTATAAAAATCAAATAACAAAATAATTTTGATATTTTGTAAATATATTAGATATAACTATAAGAATATATATCATTTGTTTGAATAAAGATTTTAATAAAGTTTTTGAGATATTAGTTTGGGCTTGGGTTTCGGATTTTGGCACGGAAAAACCCAAATTATAATAGTTTAGGATTGGTCGGTAAGTATAAACGTAACTCGACTTAAGAAATTTTAAAAAAATAAAATGTTTAAAAAATAAAAGAATTATAAAAGAAATAAAAAATTAAAATTAAAAACAATATAATAAAAAATAATAAATATAAAAATTTAACAAAATACAAAGAACTTTAATCTTGGGTTATTTAAACCCAATCCGGGCTCACCTGAACCCAATCCGGGTTCACCTGAACCCAATCCGGGTTCACTTGGACCCAATTCGGGTTCACCCAAACCCAATTCGGGTCCGCTTGGACCTAATTCTGGTCTACTTGGACCCAATTCGGGTTCAAGTAGACCCAATTCAGATTCAAGTGAATCCAGGTTGGGTCCCAGATTGGGTTCAAGTAAATCTGAATTGGATTTAAATATTTAAATTTAATATAATTTCAAATAAAAATATTTTAAACTTGAAATAATACTTAGATCTAAGATCTAAATTAGCTTGGATTTAAATCCGAAGCAACGCTTGGGCCTGTGACCTAGTGATTCAAGATAACTAATATCATACACTTTGTGTATTTTGAGGTGTTGCATTCTGAGATTATCATTATTGTCATTCGGTGATGGAATTCCGCAAGGAATTTTTTTTTGGGGTTACGCAAGATCTCCGATTTTACTGATTTTAACAATTGATTCAGGATAATACTACCCTAGCCGCTAAGGTGTAACACTAGGACCTAGCATTACACCCTAAAGATTTTGCCGATCAATCAAACGTACTGCTTATGCGCACTGATTAAAAGTTTTCCTTACGAAGTTTTAGTAGTATTATAACCGAATATTAACCCAATAGCGAAAAGTAACACTAACCATTAGGGCTTTCAAATTCGATAAAGATATTCCAAACAGATCATCATTTGAGGAATTTATGAAATGCAAACACTGCACGCTGCAAATCTTACCTATGTCCACTTAAACAAGTTTTTTTTACAATAATAATAATAAATAAAAAATTGAATAAGTATTAATTCAGACTCTAAACTTTAGTTTTTAGATACGTAGCTTTTGGAAGTTCTGAATATCGAGTTTTTTAAGAAAATTCGGGATTTTTTTTTTTTGGTTTGTTGATAGATATTAAGTCAAATATTAGTTTATTTCAATAAATTTTAGGAATAATATATTTTCTTACTATTGGCACTCTTAGGTACGACATAATACCTTATCTATATCCATTTAAACAATTTTTTTTTTATAATAATAAATAAAAAATTGAATAAGTATTGATTCAGACCCTAAACTTTAAGAATTGGGGATGCCAAAAGAAATACTTGTCAGCAATATACCTTACGTAGCTAATGCTGTTAATGTGATCGAAGCATTAGAACCGCTTATTAGTGGAAAAGTTATTCGGTGTGAATTAACGACAAACAAGCTTAACAATAATCCTCGCGTTATCAACGGTGGTTTGGCTTTTGTCACTCTCGATGATGACGACGCAGACGATCTGTTAAGCAGGGCCGACTATAACACACCAATTTGCATGACCAGACAATTAACTATACAAGAAAATAAGAGAAGAGGAAGAAAGAGGCGTAATGTAGAACCCTCGACTAATGCAGATGAACCAACATTTCCGGTTTCGAGTATTGAGTTTGGAAATTGGGCAGGTCAACTGCCAATAGCTGATTATAAAAAGCGTGGAAAACGTCCACTGCAAACGCAAAGATGGACATTTCTTTGCGATTGGAGATATCCTGATTATTATGTTGAACCCAAGTTATGCATGTCAAAGGAATCGGACGCAATTCTTATAGACGGATTTACCTTATCATCTAATCTTGAAAATGAGAAACGAATTAAAATACCATTCAGTTGGCTATCAGATTCCCGTCGTGGAATCCTTCTCGATGTGCGAGAGTGTGAAAATGGTTTCATTTCCCTGTATATTTCACTTAAATGTCCACCCATACTTTTACGCAAAACAAATAAGTATACTCAAAGAAGCACAAATACTAGATTGCTGTATTATATTTACAAAGAAGAGGAATGGATTAGAACATACGATTGGACAGGTATTGTTAATGCATTTGGAAAATTTTTAGTCTATAGACTAATAATTACAGAAAATCATAAAGAGATCAAAAAATATTTAAATAATTTGTCAATTCCTGGTGTCCCAACTCGTGTTCCTAAATGTATTGTTTCATGTGAGGAAATACCGAAGGACTCAGAATCTTACCTTAAAGTAACTTTTGAACTTTTACCATTTAGAATTTGTTTCAAGTTAGAGTCTTTAATTTCACATGGTATAGTTACAATGCATGAAATTATGGAGTATAAAATCAGTGAACAATTAATTAGTCTTATTTGTGAAGAAAAGGAGACAATTGCCTGGTATGCTCTTAATCAAATGACGATTCAACATTGGGATCCAGGTGATGATAGATATAATAGACGGCCAGTTGAGATCTTTCAGATTGCATTAACAAGTTTCCGGGGAGAATACGATGAATGGCACCCGGCTAATCCAAATATTAACTTAAAAGAAACTAATCGTTGCGCATGGGTTAATCATGCGACTATAACACCCACCAAAATCTATTTTGATGGCCCAGAATACGAAACATCAAATCGTATTCTTCGACAATATTCAGAATATAGTGATAGATTTATTCGCATCACGTTTAAAGAAGAAAATTTTCATAGATTATTTATTAATGAACAATACACAGATATACGTAATATAAGGATTAGTAATATATTAAAAAATGGATTCACCGTAGCTGGGAGACAATATGAATTTCTTGCTTTCTCATCTTCGCAATTACGAGAAAATTCATGTTGGTTTGTATCTACAGACCATGAGCTTAATGCGAATATGATAAGAGCAACAATGGGTGACTTTAGGTAACTGGTAAAATGCTATATCTTATATTATTTCATAACTTTTCTGTCGACAAATGTGAATCGAAATTATTATTACAGTGAGATTAGAGCTCCTGCATTGTATGCAGCTCGGATGGGTCAATGCTTTACTAGCACGATTGGTACTCTAGAATTAGATGAAAATCAGATAATAAGAATTCCAGATATTGAACGAAATAACTTTACGTTTAGGTATATAAATTTGCATTTTATAAAACTTTGATTTTAATTATTAATTATTATTTTAATACACTTCAGTGATGGTTGTGGGAATATCTCCCCAGGTCTTGCAGAACTTGCAACTAAACATTACTGGGGTACAGAGCAAAATGACGAAATACCATCTGTCCTTCAATTTAGATTCGGAGGTTGTAAGGTACAGATTAATCTTGAAAACTAATTTAACACAACAGTATTGTTTAAACATCAATTACATGTATGCACAATTTGCCAGGGAGTTTTCTCAGTTAATCCGAATTTATATGGGAATGTTATATGTTTACGCCCTAGTCAAACAAAATTTGAGGCACCGATCTCAACAAATTTGGAAATTGTAAAAGCGGTCAAAAATCCGTTAGCAGCACATCTAAACAGGCAGATCATTACTGTGTTATCTTCACTTGGCGTCTCTGATGATATTTTTATTGAACTTCAAAATAATGCAAAAACGGATATTGATTCTATGATGCGTAACCCTCTAAAGGCCAGTGAGATCGTGAAAAGAAGTTCGGGAACAATGGGATGTTCTCATGTTAATCGCACTATCCTTAGTTTGATTGAAGATGTTGGTGTTTCTATTAACTTTATTAAATTTTAAAAATTTGACAATGTACATATTTTCATAATATTAACACCAAGTATCTGTTTACAGGGGTTAATGGAAGATAATGAGCCGTATTTAAGAGGAATTCTAGAATGTAAACGGATATTTGCGTTGAAATACCTAAGATACAAAGCACGAATTCCGGTACCAGAAGGATACATGTTATTTGGCGTTCTTGATGAAACTGGAATTCTTGAACCAGGTAGAATATTTTATTTTTCAAAGTTCTATCAATATATTATAAAAAAATAATAATCTGTGTTTAATATACTTTTTAAAGACCAAGTTTATATACAAACTTCAAAAATAATATCGAACAATGGCACATTTCGTACAGCAAATAAGAGAATTCGAAGAGAGCATAAAGTATGTTTATTTTTCAATTTATTGAGTGTGGGGCCTTATAAGGTTAATATTTGTTAAATTTTGTATTAAATATAATTGTAGGTGCTAACTGGTCCTGCAGGTAGTAATAATAGCAACAATAACGATGATTAATTCTAAATCAAGATCATTACATTGTCATAAAATATTTACTATTCCTTTTTACGAATATCATCTGAATAGTGATCGCACGAAATCCGAGTTTACATCCTGGCGACATAAGAATTGTTTGGGCTGTAGATGTTCCAGAATTAAATCATCTTAAAAACTGTGTCGTTTTTAGTCAAAAAGGAGATCAGCCATTGCCCAATTGTTTGGTTCGTATAACTTATTATGGAAATTTGATATTTATCATAGCATTATCTTATATTTCACATTTTTAACAGAGTGGCGGTGATCTAGGCATGTCACTTTACGAGTTATCGATAATTTTATTATTCTTCTGTACATACTAACTTTCTTAATCTAGATGGTGATGAATTTTTTATATGCTTCGATTGGCGTATTTTCCCAATGATTGACCATGACCCTATGGACTACAGTCCTCCAAAGAGGAAAGAACTGGATAGACCAGTAGAGATTTCAGATATTTGTGAATTCTTTACAGATTTCACGAAAAATGATCGTATTGGTATGATTGGAAACTTGCATCTTGCCTTAGCAGATTTTCATCCAGAGGGTATATTTCACCCACAATGTCTGAAATTAGCAGAACTGGTAAATAAAGTTAATTCTTTGACTCAGGATTTACTTGTAACTGAAACTGATGTCTCATCCCATTACAGCACTCAAAAGCAGTCGATTTCAACAAGACAGGTGTTCCTGTTACAGAACCGTTACCAATGATGGATGAATATCCAGATTTTATGGAAAATAAAACCAAGGATGAATATGAATCTCAAAAAATTCTTGGCAAGTTATATAGGAACATAGAACTTGTTCAGTCAAAAAATAACCTGCTATTAAATTACGATACAACTGATAAAATTACTCCAAAAGAAATTTTTCTCGCACCAGGATACGAGGATTATTTAGAAGAAGCCGAAGTATGCAGAGATACGTATAACGGTGAAATACGTAGTTTGATGAAAAAATTTAGGGTTAAAACAGAACCAGAGATTATAACATCAAACCTTCTTAGCTTTCACCGAATCGATGGAAGAAAAAGTCAGGACATTCGAGAATCGATATCTGGAACAATTTCCTTCACAATTCATAAATTTCGTAAGCATTTTTTGATAGGATTGCAAGATAACATTGATCAATATGTTGACAATGATAGATATAATGTAAATATTCCAATAACCAATGAAACAAAAGCCAAAGCATCAGCTTGGTATTATGTTACATATCACGAAGAAGAATTTCCGGATGCTAGTGATGACAGGAGACTGTTAAGTTTTGCATGGACAGTTTCAGATATTCTCTTAGAAATAAGAAAAGAACATATGTAAATTTAGATTAATATTTAAATCAATGTTTGTAAATATTAGCATCACTTTCCAGATGTTTGTGATTACCTATGATACAGAAATCTTTAAATTATTTTTAAGGCAATGTAACCTATATTACTCGATATAATATAATATTCAAGTTATTATTATTTAGAGAGTACTATACATAAAATTAGGTGCAATGTCATATATATTATTATTTGAGTGCTGCCAAAGGAAGAGGGCACCTCGATTTTTTTAAATATATTAGTACATCGGGGTTTCAATTATTGTTATATTTATGTACACCATATCAATCAATATAATTAAAAGCTCGTATGTCATCGATCAGAGAGGTGCCTTTTTCCCTTGGCAGCACTCGTTTAAACACATCCATTTTCGATGTTAAAATAAGTAATTTAATAAATTTTGAATATCAAATAACAAGAAATATATCACTTATAGCATACTCTCTCTAACACGACGTAAAAAACAGATAAGTAAAAAAATTTAATTTAAAGACGTGTAATCGGGTGCGATTACCCCATTTCGTGAGTAATACAATGTTTTTGATCAAAAATAGCGAAATTTGATAACTCGGTGCATTAAATAAAGAAGACAATTTGGCCTAACGCTAAGATTAATTGAATAAACATTAAATTAGATAATTTTTAAAAACTTACTCTTTAGCCAACCTCTTAAAAGGAAGCTGTCAATCAGCGAGTTCAATTTTCGAAACGTGAGAAAGAAAATTTAAATCGCACTAATTAAAAATGAGAGCAAATTTTGCATATAAGAAATGTCACTTTATTCCCAAATTATTGCCCTAACCTTAAATTTCTATTTTCATGTATCGGTACAGAATTTCATTTTTCTCATCAGTGGGCTAGAGGTTTATATATATAAAATCGCCTTCCCGACCTTTTTATTAACGCTCCAAGGTAGATTTAGACTGTCGATTTGTGTATTTTTTGTATTTTACTCTTTTTTTCGATCAAATTCACGTAAAATATCCAGGATACTTTACCATTTAAGCTGTATATATGGGTATTGGATATTCTGGTCAGCGTAGAGGGGTATATGTTGCACTATCGCTATATGAATGCTGCAGTATTATAAATGCTAATTTTAGATTCGTGAATATTATAATAACGGGGAAAATCAAATCATGATTAATGTAGAATATACCGCAACAAGTTGGCTTAAACAACCTAGCTACGCTATACTGGTAGAATGGTTTAATAGCTCATTTATTCAAGTACTGTGGTATCTCAGTTGCTAGAAATGAATCTGAAGATGATCAAATCTTTGATTATGATCGTTTGTTATCTGATGCCAATTATAACAATGCTGTAGATGAAGTTTTTAAAGGAGAAAATATTTTTGATAATGATGGTCTTGGAATCGATGAAGAATTAAATTAAGATGAACAACCAGAATATGATGATGTTAAATGGGATTGAAACAAAAGAAAAAAAATTTAGTACAATCATGTTCGTACTGTAATTAACATTCGTTGCATTATTAAAGTCCGATAACCATTCCATCAATAGCAACGACCCTAGCATCACGAACCTAGCATGACCACCAAGATCAGTTACGTACGGATTTTCAACGAATTATTAATACGTAAATAATCTGAAAAAAAGAAACTTTTTTCCATATCTAAATATCAAAGAAAATTTTTTTGCTATACATCAAAGATCAACCAATTTATTTGAAGCCAACGTTAATAAAAATCTGTATTAAACGGTTAAAGGAGGCATAGATTCGGGTGTATTTCTTTTTTAATAAACAGTTTTTTTTTTTATTGATCATCTTGGAAAATAGATGTTTATTTCTTCGGAGGTATATTTATTTATTATACCCATTAATTAAAATTCTAATAGTTTATATTCAATTATTCTATTATTCTCTTATTATGCCAAATAAAATATAATACTACATTAACACCAATTTATTATTTGAATACGAATTCAACTATTTCTGAATATAATAATATAGTTGAAGCGGACGAGGCAGATGCTAAGACTAGAAATTGCAGAAAATTATAAAAAAAACCCTTTATAATGTATAATATACAGTAAATTAATTGTACTTTGTTCATATAAAGGTTATTGGATGGTAGTTCTTCAAATATTAGTTTGATTTTGAAGTTTTTGATTGCTGATGAGGTTGGATTAGTTATTAAAGCTAGAGGTTCTTCTCCATATAATATGTATTGTAGTGTTAATGACCAATTAATGTTATTCTGAAAGGTATGTCATAGTAAGATTCATTGTTAGTTAAACCATGTTAAACAGTTTGTAATTTGATGTACTTGTTTCAGTATAGTTTTCATTAGATAAATGCAAGGATTTTCAAAAGCTTTGGAACAAATTGATTATATAAAACTTTTAAGATACAGAGTCTAGTAGAAAAATTGTACTTGGGGTCTTTTAGATTTTAAAATCTTTGTCAAGAGTCATTGTGAGTATATAGTTATATGTTAAGGTTTTTAGAGTTAGAAGAAGAAAAGTATATTATTGTTTGTCTAATATTAGATAATTATGTAATTGGATTGAATTTGTGAAGTTAACAAGATTAACTATTGAAGAGTTATTAGTATATATATTTATCAAAGTGCAGGAACTTAATAAGATAAGTATAAAATTTAATGTAGTTATTAGTATGTTCAGATGAGATGGCTAGAAGTTGTTAAAATATCCAAAAGTTAAATAAAAGTGTTAGAAGTAGCATTTTGCTATTATTTGAGAAATATTTTCAATGTTTTGTCATCTACTTGTTATATGAATCATTGTAATTTTTGTATTAAAGTTGATTTTTACAAGGTTATTCTAGAGTATTATTAGTGAATTGATAAAGGAGCATAGGAGATGAGCCAAGATTAAGTGTACTGTTTGGTTATGAGTTCTTGACATTATTGGTAAAATTAGTGTTAAGGTTTTTTTAAAGCCTTTTAAATCAATATAAATTCTTTTTTTGCAATTTACTTAAAGGTTGTAGATGAGTTTTGTTGCATTAAAGTAGCAATATTTGGTATAATAAGATGTATTGCTCAATTTGCATCCTTTAAAGGCAGCTAGTATATTGTCAGATAATAGTATATAGTGTCAAGTTTTAAGATTCTTATTAAATGAATTATGAATTCTTTTAAAGGTTAGGTTGTTTGTAATTATTTAGTCTCTTTTAGTAGGAGTTCAATTTGCCAAGATATGTGGATTGCATTGTGAATATGTTGAGTATAGATTTGTAGATGTAGTTATTAAGTCTTGTATCATATAAAACTAATATAGGCATTGGCCTTTTGGTATTTTTTTAATGTTATGATAAAAATAGTTTCATGTTGATAGTTCTATGTTGGTAACATTTAAAAATTGCTCAATGCAATATATGTTGTATTTGTTTAGTTTTTCTTTAAGGTATAAAGCTCTAGGATGTTGCATTAGTATTTGATTTATAGAGGTATTTATAATTTTTTTTAAATAGGGCCAGTTGTTAATATCTCTTGAAGTTTTCATGCCCAATGTGTGTAATGCTAATACCATTTGACTAGTTTGTATATTTGCTTGAGTCATTGGAAAAATTGAAGGTTATATTAGAATAGAGGTATTAGTAAATGTAGTGTCTTGTAGTTGTTATAAACATAGTTTCAAGAATAAGAAGTCAAAATCTGGATGGTTTAAATTTTTTTGAAGTGTTGTAACTAATGCTAAAAGTTGTGCTTGAGCTATATTTGTTAATACATAAATGTTTGGAGTATATAAAAAGGAGTTAGAAATTTCTTAAGCTAGTTTTGCCTTATATTTAACTAATTGAGTACACATTTTGTTAAGAGTGTTTGCTTGGGCTAGGGTAAGAAATAAAGAGTAGAGTCAATAAAGGAGTCATAGAATAATAACATTATTTATAATATAAATTGTTTGTTTTTTTTGTTATATTAGCAAATTGTAGCTTTTTTAAATTAATTATTACTTTAGCTATTATTTCTTTTTGTACTAGTGTTGGTCTTTTGTTAGCTAAGAACCATGTTCTTAAATATTTAAATGGTTTTCCATTGTTAATTGCTATTATTTGTTCTTTGTTGAAGAGTATAAAGTTATCTAAATCTGTTAAGTTTGTAACTAGTATTGATTTTAAAAGGTTAACTTTTATATTGACAAATTTGTAAAAAAAAAAGGCAGTATTCAAGATGTTTATAAAAGAGGTTTTATTAGGTGCGATCCAAAGTAAGTTGTCCATATAAGCCATTAATGAAGCATTTATTTTTTTTGATTATATACCAGGAATTTTACTAGAAAATTCTAAGTATTCTTTGTATATTCTTGAAATTAGTAGATCATAATATATTTTCCAAAGAAGAGGTGAAAAGGTCTCTCCTTGGTCAATACTATCCTTGACTAAGTATGGTGCAATTAGGCCCAAACTTGTAATTACTCTGTTGGTCTGATGTGAAAGCAAATATAATATTAGGTTTATGACTTTGTCTGGTATATGAATTCTTTAAAGTACTTTGCTTAAGATAGGTATATAAATTGAGTCAAAGGCTTTTGACATGTTCTGTAAGAGAATCCAGACTTCTTTCTTATTTGTAATTGCTTCTTCCAAAATTTGAATAAGTTGGAAAATTGGTTATAGTATGAATTGATAAGAAAAAGCTGCAAAATTGTATAAGAAAAGTACTTGATTTTGAACTAGAATGTCTGTTAGTCTAATTGTTAAAATTTTTGTAAAGATTTTTCTAATATAATTAATTAGTGTTATTGGTTATATAAAGTTAAATTAATAATTGTAATGTTGTTTTTTTGGAATTGGCCAAATGTTTACTTGTAGCTACTGGTTTGAGATGTATTTTTGTATCAAGCATTTGTTGAATATTTTTAGTAGTAGTAAGAGAACTAATGATGATAAATGCTAGAAAGCCTTATTTGCAATTCCTAGTAGTCCTGTTGCTTTTTCTTTAGAGGCTTCTTTTATAATTTGTTTCAGCTTCAATAGGAAGATCAGAGACAAAAGATTGTTATATATGTTGTTTTTAATATTGTTAAGTAGATTATATATTGATTTCTATTCCTTCTAAATAGCATTATTAGGTGAATTTTCTTTGGTTCAGTTTCTGTAATGTTAATATATAGCTTTTTTAATTTTATTCTAGTTTGTAATTATCTTGTTTGGAAGTATAATTTTTTCAAAATTTACTAGTTCTGGTCTTCTTTTAAAAATACTATCTAGCATATGACTAGTGTTATCTTTAAAGTCTAAATATTTTCAATTTGTTTAGAACTTGATTATTTCACTTTGATTTTATTTTTTTTAAAAATTTCATGCTTGTCATATTGTATGCTTGTATTGCTTTATCTGTGTTATAAGATCAGGTAGAGAAAGGTTTAATTGTGCTTGTATAATTAATAGAATTTCTATTTCTGCAAGAGTAGCTGTCTTTGATAAATAAAAGTTTACCCTAGTTAAGTTATTTAAAGTGTTATTTGAGAGGTAATGTAAATATTTGTTAATGTTTTTAAGAGCAGAATGCAGTTTAGTTGCTTTTAGTGAAAGTGCAAAGAAGAATCTGAAAGTAGTAAGAGTATATGAAATATGTAAGTTCATTTTTTCTTTAATTTTTGTTGCTCAGAAGTTTCATATTTTGTTTATATTGTTTTTGTTTGTATTTGATATTGGAATATTTTGTGAATTAAGGCAGATATTTAGTAAATCTTCAAAATTTTTCCAGTTCTCTGATGTTATTTTCTCAAACAGATATATTTTTCTTTTTTTCTTTTTGTTTCTAGAGATCTTTTGGAGTAAAAAGTTTGTATACCAGGTTGTACTTAGGATGCAGTGATTACTGCTTGAGATATAAGAAGCATCAGTTAGAGATGAAGGTTTGAATGCTAGTAATATATCTAATAAGATCCAGAAATCATCAATTTGATTAGCAGAAGTTAAGCCATGCCATGTTGGTGTTTGGATGTTATAAAATACTAGTAAACTTGTCAGGTTGGCTGCATTTAGATTTGTGAATATTGGAAAGTGTTTGTTTCTAAATTGATTAGCATTAAAATCTTCTAGTATGATTAAATATCAGTTTCTAGCCCTAGCTTTTGTAATTCAGTTAAGTAATTGAGATTGTGTCTTTTTTATAAAAGAAGGATAATTTGAAAGAAGGTAAGTTGAAATAATACAAGATTTGTTGTTATTAGAAAAAAGAATCAAGACATATAGCTGTTTCTTAAAAGATGTTGATTTTGTAAATGTATAGTTGTAGTTGATTGCAAACTATTAGAACAGTTTCCAAGCTGGCTTTTTGTTAATTTAGTTTATATACTACAAAGTTTGAAATAAAGATTTTATATAAAGGGTTAGTTAATAACTTTATTATCGAGTCTTTTAGCTTAGTTTTAGTAAGAGAGATTATATATAAATT